GTTTTTTTATATTTAAAGAATTTGCCACTGACGATTCAAACGCGAGTTCTGAGCAATGTGCTTGTTGTTTGTCATTTCTCCGATCACACATGCAGACATGGTTTTATGTTTACGCGGCGCGATGCAACGCAACGCGTAAAAAGACAGTATAAGTCATTATAATCCGTAATTATGTCCCCACTGGATGCAACGAATGTCTCGTTTATAATGGGTTTTCATGTTTTTGAATCATCGCTCCGGCCTGACAGGGCATCACAGTATGGTGAGGGGCGTAACATTTCCGTCTCACGCTTGAGGTATTCGGCCAATCACAATGCACTGGATAGCTGGCCAATCACAGCACACCTTGCTTTTCAGACTGATGAGCTTTGTAAAAATCGACGCGTTTCAGAAAGGCAGGGCATAGAGGAGAAACAATAATGTACAGTATGTGGAAAATAATGTTTTTTTTTTACTTTAAACCGCATAAACACAATTTCATTACACCAAATACACAAAATAATGTTCTTTTTAGCAACATCATATGACCCCTTTAAGTTGGTGGTTTTTGGCCAGAAGGAGCAGCAGTGTGGAGTTGAGTACCTCTGTATTTCTTTGTTCTTCCAGCAGGTGGCAGCCTGAGCCTCTGGTACTCTCTCCTTGAAGGTCACCAGCTCCTCCCCTCCATCAGCAGCCTGAAGCACACAACAGCTGATATTGCAAGATGTCCTCTCTTACTGTCAAATCAAACGAGGAATTCAATGTCAGCTAATGTGAGATCATTCAAGTTACATTCATTACTATTCAAAGGTTTGGGGTCGGTAGAACTTTTGAATGTTTTTTAATGTTTAAAAGTCTCTTCTGCTCACCAAGGCTGCATTTATTTGATCAATACTGTAAAAATGTGAAATATTATGTAATTTAAAATAACTGTTTTCTAAGTGAAACTATGTTAAACTAATGTATTGCTGTGATCAAAGTAGAATTTTCAGCAGTCTTCAGCATCACATGATTCTTCAGAAATCATTCTAATATGCTGGTTTATTATCAATGTTGAAATCAGTTTTACTGCTCCATAACATTTTGGAACCTGTGATACTTTTTTTCAGGATTCTTTGATGAATAAAGTTAAAAAGAACAGCGTTTCTTTAAAATAGAAATCTCTTATAACAATACAAGTCTTTAATATCACTTTTTATCAATTTAACACATCCTTGCTGAACGAAAGCATTAATTTCTTTAAAAAAAAAAAAAATTTAATGACCCCAAACTTTTGAACAGTAGTGTATGTTGTTACCAAAATATTTCTATTTTAAATAAACACTGTTCTTTTTAAAAAAAAATTTTTTTTTTTCATCAAAGAACCCTGAAAAAAGTATCACAGGTTCCAAAAAAAATTATGGAGCAGCAAAACTGTTTTCAATATTGATAATAAATCAGCATATTAGAATGATTTCTGAAGGATCATGTGACACTGAAGACTGGAGTAATGATGCTGAAAATTCAGCTTTACATCACAGGAATAAATGACATTTTAAAGTATATTCAAATAGAAAACTGTTATTTTAAATTGCAAAAATATTTCACAATATTACTGTTTTTCTGTATTTCTGATCAAATAAATGCAGCCTTGATGAGCAGAAGAGACTTCTTTAAAACACATTAAAAATCTTACTGATCCCAAACTTTTGAACAGCAGTGTATTATGTTGTATTCTGACTGATCCAGATGATAATAATAATAATGTTGATTTATGGTGCTCAGTGTTAGTCTACTGATCTCCAGTGCTGTGTGACTGACCTGTGCACCAGAGGCAGCGGCAGTAAATACAGCGCTGCTGTTGTGTCCAGCCCACAGTCCAGCATGATGCTGGTGGATTTAAACTTGAGCACATTACAGGGCAGAGTGGGGTGACCTGACAGACAACACACACACACACCCCACACACACCACACACCACACCCACACCACACACCACACCACACCACACACCAAACAACAACTGTAACCATCTGAAATTAACAGCAGTATCTGTGCAGTAAGTAGGCTACATTCAATACAAACATAGGTTGGCCTACTGACAAAAGCATTTAGCTTTCGTTTTTAAATTGGGTTGAAACTATAAACTGGCCTTAAATGAAAACATTAACTGTAACCATGTAATTTTAAAGGCAACAACTGCATAGTTCCACAATCCAAACAACACAATCAAAACACATTCAACACTCCAAACAAAGATGTTACTTAATCAGCATTCAGCATTTGTTTTCGTTTTTAAATTTGGTGTAAAGAAAAAAAGATCTTTACCAGTGAAACTAAATAAAACCAAAGTAGGCTATATAAATAAATTATTCCAAAATGTTAACTATGGCAGGTGCTTTTTAAATCACATTAAGTCTTAATGTGTATTATAATGTGAATACAAATAATGTAATTTTAAGGTAAAATAAAAAATATTAATCCTATAGCCTAGAACTGACGTTTACTTCTGGCTTTTCAAAAGTGCATGCGAGTTCTTCTTTACAAAAAGAAGCATTTCAGCTTTGTCACAAGTTAGTCTGTTTCGTTTCTCATCCAACACGTGAGAAGCTGAGCTGAACAAACGTTCACTGTCTACGCTTGTGCAGGGCGCGGACAGGTACACTCGCGCAACTTCAGCGAGTGCAGGAAAGCGGCTCTTATTTGTGCGCCAGTACACCAACGGCTGTTCGCTTCTTGGTATCTGTGCCTCAGACAGGTAGCTCTGCATTTCCAGTGCTGTACGGCTGCCCGTATCCTTAATCACTTCAGATTTTTCTTCCAATATCTCATCGTGCATCGCCAACAGTGAGCTTGCTCTGCGTGGTATTTTTTCTGCTGGCGCCTCTGTGCACACTTCCGGAAAAATCGGACGAAAAAAATACAAAAAACCGGCCGGTTGCCGATCGCGCATTATAAGCAAAAACCGGCCGGTTCCGATTTATGGCCGGTCAACCGGTGCATCCCTACTCAATATTACTGTCACTGTAGCTGATTCAACTCAAAACAGCCGTTATCATATTTATGCGCTAACAAAACACACTGATATACGCACCAGTTTCATGTCTGATCTCCAGAAACTGGATTGATTCCCTAGCTTTGTTGTTTTCTGTGATTCTAAAACTCGGGAAACATTCAGGACTGACTGTTCTTCTGCTGTATGTCTGTGCGTGTCATTCAGCTCAAGACAGACGCGCATTTGCCTAGCGGTCGGGCGTGGAACTACATGACAACTATGTGTAAAAAAGAAACAAAAAACAAAGCTAGTACCATTGTTTATGACTTATTTATTGTTTTATTTGTTTGTTTGTTTATATTTATTATATTATATACATTATATAATTTTATATAATTATTATATATGTATATGAAATATTTACTTTAAGTAGTTTATGTAATATTATTCTAATATATTGTATTTTTATCTGACCTTTGTTTTTATATTTAACATGGTCAATGTACAGTGCACTTCCAACAGAAAAGCAAAAATATAATCCTAGAGG